TCCGCTCCACACAACGATCCGCTCCACACAACGATCTGCCGCGGCCAGGCCAGGCCCCCGGAACGGCCGCCTCCCGACCAAGATCACACAGGCCATCGCCACGCGGCTATCCGCGGCACTTTGCTCCGCCAGCCGATTGCGCAGACTGAAGCGCCCAGGCGACCCCGCTCCGGCAGCTAGGACCCAGGCAGCAGCTGCCTGGGAACGTGGACAGACGCGCTCGCGGACGCGCTCCGAAACGGAAGACCCAAGCCTCAGCTCCGCTTCGGCTCGGGAATTGCAGGCGGGCGGCCTTGGGATGTGCGCGCCACAGGGTGAGGCGGGTTGGCATACGGCCGGTGCATCCTTGCACTACACTGTAGTGTACTGCCACTTTGCCATCATTCCAGCAGGCGCCGAGGTGCGGCCCCTGTTCCTCTGAGCAGCACGTGGTTCTCGAAACAGGGAGCTGGCTGCCGATGGCCCCTGCTGGTACCCGTTGTGCAGGGATCTGGGCGTGACCATGCTCGTTTACGCGATTGCTGTGCTCGCATGGTATTGGACAAGGCTAGTCATGCGGCACTGGTGTCTGCAAGGTGTGTGGGTGTGAGCACAGGCGTGGGGTATTTCAGCTGCTGCTTGGCACGCACCCGTGCTCGCGTCCCACTAACAACGTCGCAAATAACATAAGATCCACGGCATTGACACGCTCACAACAATTCCAAACCTGATTTCTTGAGTCCAAATGCTGACAATCTCCTTTTACAATATACTGCATGCGTTGCAGACATGTGAACATTGGATGCACATAACCTGTCAAGAAACAATTAATAGGCATCAATCCGTTTGAACACCAATTTCACAGACGCTCCCAGGCAGCACCAGCCTCACCCTCACCCAGGCGTCCCCTTGTTCCTGGTCTCTTTGCTGCTGCACCTCCTGCCGCCACTGCTCCTTCGGCTGCCACTGCTTTTGCTGTCCCTCCTGGACGGGCTGCCCTGGCTCCTGCTGTGCCGCCTGCCACTCTCCCAAGCAGGCCTGTTCCTGAACCAGGTCCTGAGGGTCGACGACATGCTCGCCCGGCCCACCGTCCGGCTGAACAGCCTCAACGCAGGGCAGCAGCTGCTCCGTAAATGTAGCTGGCTGTGGCGGCAGCGATTGCACTGGCTGGACGCGCGACCGTGGTGGTTCGTCGTCCCGCTGCATGCTGATGTTGACGGCTCGCGAGTAGGCGGCCTGGATGGCATCCAGCTGCGCGATAGCTGAGCGTACCAGGCGTTTGCGCAGTGTGCGCAGCTCCACTGCGCCCCCGCACGTGGTGGCGTCCAGCTCTAGGAGGACGCGCGTCGCCAGCTCCTGCAGCTCCAGGTACTGCACGTGGCTCAGAGACTGCTGCGGCAGGCCCACTGCAGGAGCCGGCGCAGGCTCGCGGCCGCCTGGGCTGTCGTCAACAGCCGCAGCGCCTGCACAGCTGTTGGCCGCGGTGTAGTGGTCAAACCTAGCGCACACGTTTGCAAGCTGCTGCTGAGCTGCGGCGAGCTGGTGCAGCGTCGCCCGGTGCCTGGCCAGGCGCCAGCCCCGGTAAGCCGATTGGATTGTGGTTGCTGCCTCCGAGCGCGTCAGGGATGCAGCTCGCTTGGTGGCAAGGCAAGCGTCTGCCTGGGCCACACTCCCTACACCGACAGTGGGCCCACTGGTCAGGCCAACAGTTGGCTCCTGAGCTTGCGGAACAAACTTGCGCTGCTGGTGCCGCTGCTGCCGCTGCTGCTGCTGCTGCTGCTGCCGCTGCTGCTGCCGCTGCTGCTGCTGCTGCTGCTGCTGCTGCTGCTGCTGCTGCTGCTGCTGCTGCTGCGGCTGCTGCGGCTGCTGCGGCTGCTGCGACTGCTGTGGCTGCTGCTGCTGCTGATGATGATAACACGGGTGCCACTGACGCTGAAGATCTGCCACCACTGGTACCCTGAACATTGTGGAGGCGGCGCGTGCCCGGCCCTGTGGGCCCAAGCTGCCACCTGCGGCTGCCGCGGTGGCAGCCCGGTGCTGTGCAGCAGCCACAGCCTGCCGCTGGCGCTGCGTGACAGTCGCCGCGCCAGCGACACCTGGGTGAGCAGCAGCCGCATGCCTGTGCGCTGCAATTGCCGGGTGCTGATAGAACAGCTGGACGGGAACGCCCTTGGAGCCGTGCGTTGCATAAGGCATCTGCCAATGAGCCACCTCGTCTTCGTCCTCATAACCACCACCATTGTATGTAGGCTCAGCGTCAGCAATGCCGTCATCGTAGAAGGCTTGGTACAAGGGCGGAAGGTTGGCGTATTCCCTGTGAGAGAAGGTAGCCAGTTGCAACGAGGCGGGGTCAACGTGTTGCATCTGGTGATTGAATGCCTCCCACTGCGCTTCAGATGACTTATATCTTCCAAGCATGACAGCATGGCATATGTGCGTATGCTGCGATGCATTCCTGTGTAGCCATCATGCACGAGCGTCGTGCCAGGAAGCTTCTGGGACAGCATATCAGTCAACGGGTCATATCTGCTGTCGCAGGGTAGTCACATACCACCAAACGCATGCATTGTGACAGCCTATGAGGCTTCGCACACCTGTAACGAGGACCGGGCAAGTTCATATTGGCGCGGTGGTGGGCTGGCGAACCGGTGCAGCGTGGTGGGCCTGGCAGCACCATGCGCCCGGAGGCAGGGTCATAGGCCAGGCCCACGTCGGAGTCCATTGCGTACTCCGCAGCCCAAGGCCCTAAAGAATGCTGCGGCCTCGCGAAGAACATGTTTCACAAGCTGATGGCGAGGGTGACGAACTATTGCTGATCTCGCGTGGGGGCTGTTGTAATGTCGGAACAAATGGCATGTTGCGCATAGATTGAATGGCGTGATGAAACAAACCCAGTCGCATCAAATTGTGCCCGCCTGCATGCTGCCTCACCTTGCTGGCGTGTTCCTGAAGCCTCCGGATAGCAGCTGTACTCACTGCCATCGCCCACCACTTGCAAATCACCCACTACCTGCCAGGTGACAATTGTCGCTACTGTGTTTACAACTTTAGTATTTACTCCAGGGAACATGGTCAGCCGCTGTCCTTGCCATCACCACCTTCACCACAGCCGCCCGCAGCCTCTGCGCCGCTGCATGCGCGCCCCAGCTCCTCCAGTAGCTGCACCAGCTTGCCGCGCGTCCCCTCCGTGATGGCCCCTGCGGTGACATAAAAGGCCAGGCACCGCTGGATTGCCGCGGCCACAGGCTCCAGGCTGCCACCGGCGAGGCGTGCGGCCGCGGCATGCTGCAGACCAGGGCTGCCTCGCAGCAGAAAGCCCAGGAGCATAGCACTGTAGGCCTCCACAATCGCTGCCTCGCCCGCATTATCGCTGCTGGAGCTGCCGCCGCTGGCCAGCTCCTGAGGCGAGCTGCGCTCTGGCTGCGACGTGAGGGGCATGCCCGCACCCGCCGGCATGAGGCATGTGGACATAGGGCCGGGCCGCTGTGGCGCGCCGCCCTTGCCGCCGCCGTTCCCGCCCGCTGTGCGTGGCTGCACCAAAGGCGGAGGGCTGCCAGGCGGGCCCTCATGCTGCGACCCGGTTCGCTGCTGGCCGCTCCCCGCTGCATGCCTGCGCTGCGACGGTTGGGAGGACGACGGCGGCGACGGGGAGCCTGGCTGCGGCGACTGGGGGGCATCCTCCGCAGCCACCCGCTCTGCTGTGGCGTTGAGCATGCTGCAGAGGAGCGGCAGCACACCAGGCGAGGCCGCACCACCCTCAGCTGCGCCGGCCCCCGTCAGGTCACAGCATACGCCTGGCTCAGTTGAGGCCAGGTTGATGAGCACGCCCAGTGCCACGCTGACCACCTCGACATGCTCCAGCACCTGGGATATCACAAGGTGCGGGCGGTGGGATGCAAGGGATTGGGCGTCACCTCTTGAGCTACAGGCCTGGATTGGAAACTTGATGACATTCTTACCATTGGGCTGCCATAAAAATTGCCTGTCAATGGTAGAATTATCAAGCAGAGGCCACAGCAACCACTGGCGGCCGGCTGACAGCGAGGCCAGGCGCAAGCTTGGCCCCCAAACAGTCCTGCAAAACTCGAGCCGCACCTCCGTCCGCATCGCCTCGGCAAGGCCCCTTTCCCAGCTGGGCAGCAGCCGCTGCAGCAGCTGAACAATGGCCCCTGCGCCGCCGGCCTGTGTGATGGCGCTGACACCGCCGGCGGTGTTGCCGTGCGTCAGGTTCATCAGCACTGCCAGGCAGGCATGAAGGCACTGCACACATGCCGCATTGCCGGCAAGCGCCGCACTGCACAGCGGTTGCAGCAGGGACACAAGCAGCAATGGCAGCTGCTGGGCCGCGCTCGCGCCTGGCACTAAATCTGCCCCCGACCGGGCCTCTGCCGCCACTGCTGCCACCGTTGCTGCTGCCGCCGCTGCTGCTGTATGCTCGCCATCACCTTTACTAAAGCTGGCGCTGGCCAGACAGGCAGCGTTCTCGGGGGCCGTGAAGGTGGCATTTTCCATCACCGCCAGCACCGTGGCCACCAGCCACGCGTTGCCCACCACCACAGCTGCGTCCACCGCCAGCCCTGGGGCCCCCTGATCTCCCTGGGATGCCTGCTGCTCGCCCCGTGTGCCGCCGCCCTCGCCGCAGCACAGGCGGCGAAGCAGATCAGCCAGCCGCACCAGCAGGCCGTGGCGCAGCATCTTGGCGCGCATGACCTCGGTGTATTGCAACCGCGTCGCGTCGTGTGCCCCAGTGGCTTGCGCCAGCGCGGTGAGCAGCACGCCCTGCTGCGTTGCCGTCAGCGCCTCATGCCGCTCCATCGCCAGCGCCGCCTGCTGCTGCAGCTGCTGTTGCTGCGATGCGCTGCCGGCGGCCAGCTGCGACAAGCTCAGGCCGCTACTGGGGTGGCGCAGCAGGCTGCCATTTTGCAGCAGGCGTTGCAGCCGCGCCCCAGCCGCTGAGTCGGCCGCAGTCTGCTGGATGTCATGAGACTCCTGGGTGGTCAGCGAGTGTGGGACAAGAATGCACGTCCTTGCTTTGCAGGGGATCACAAGAAGGTGCAGGCCACAGCAGGGGCAGCACGGGGCTGACCAGGGGTAGCACTCCTGAGCTGGTTGGTGCCAGCTGCAGCAGTGTCTTGATGTGTACCCCACAAGCCTCAACACAATGATCTCAGATCCGCACAGCACTCGCGCCCCAATACCAGCCCCCCACCTGCAGCAGCTGCTCAGCCAGCACCACAGCAGCTGTGGAGGCCATGTAAGCGGGGTGGGCGTCCTCTGCCGCCAGCGCCAGGAGCGCACACGCGGCCGCGAGCGCCAGGGCTGCGTCGCGCCCCGCTTTGACCTTGGCGAGCGCTGACAGCACTTGCTGTGCCAGCCCGTCCTTCCTGAACAGTGGATGCGGTTGGGGCCAAGACCCAAATGCCTGAACCTCTGGTATACGGCAATCAGCACAGCGCGGCACGAACAACATTGGGCGTGTGACAAAGGTACCACCAGGATACATGCATGCACACCCGTTTGCGATGCGTCGAACCACCCCCCCTGCTCTATGCAGCCTCCTCAACCTGAGCGCGAGGCGGCCCCTGCGAGTGGCGAGCATCTCGCACAGAGTAGCGGCCGAATCGCGCTGCGTCGAAATGCTGCTGCCGGGAGTGAGGCCATCCAGCGCGTAGCTGGCATCGTCCTGCAGCTGCACCAGCTCGCCACACTGCTGGGCCTGAGGAAGGGACGAGCGTGATGTGTTGGTTGAGGGGGGGGTTTCTACCATGTAGCTGTTGGTGCTCCCTGCAAGGCCAGTCACACTGCAGCCACATAGCAGGGACATGTGACCAAAAGCTTGAGTATAATCAGCAGTGCAGCCGGCCGTTCCTGCAAGAGGCTCCCACCTCCATAACAGTCTGGCCGTGGACGTGCGCCGGGTCGCCTGGGTCGGGTGCCAGCTTTATTTGCAGCATGGGGCGCAGCGCACGCAGCAGGCCTGGGCGGGCTGGTGCTAGGGCCTGCAAGGACGCCTGCTGCTTGCCTGTCCGCGCCATCGCTGCAGCTGCCGCCGGTGCGCGACCAGCTTGCACAGAGGTGTCTGTTGGGCTGGACTGATGAGAGGCCCACTCCATTTCATGCTCCGTCTTGCCAGCGGAGACTTCGCCGCTCTTGCTGCCCCACCCCTTATTGCTGCCTCGCTGCTGGTTCTGACCCCAGCGCTGCTGCTGCTGCTGCTGCTGCCGCTGCGACTGTTCCTGCTGCTGCTCGGTGCCGTCTTGGCCCGTGTGCTGTCCTCGGCTTGTCCCCTGCTGCTGCTGCTGCTGCTGCAGCTGCTGCTGCTGCTTGTCCCTGTTCCAGTCCTGCTGTCGCTGCCGCTCAAGCTGCGGTGGCCGCCTCTGCTGCCGGCGGAGCTCGTGCTGCCGCTGCAGCTCGTCCTCAGCCTGGGGCGGGGACTCGCATGGCCGCATGACCTCCTGCCCTGCTGGGCGCTTCATGGGCTTGACGCTGGCGCCGGCTTGCTGCTTGAGGCGCTTGGCGGCGTTGCCCCCGCCTGCGTCAAGTGGGCCAGCGGGAGGCCGCTTGGCCTCGGCCTGTCCCGGCCTTGCGGTCCCTAGTTTCACAGCGCCCCCTGAGATCGTCCTGCCGAGACTGTGGAGCACGGCGTTGGCTGCCGTCGGGGCCTCGATAGCTGGACATCCCGTCTGCTCAGGTGTGCCTGCTGCGCTAGAAGTTGGCCGGCTGTTGGCGCGCATGAGCCGGGCCGCATCCGTCCGCCGCCCGCTCCGCCCTTCGAGAGAGCCAACCTGCAGAATGAGGGGGACCCAACCCACCACATCATCAAGCTATGTCCAATGGGCGGCATCGCCAGGGTGGTTCAATGCTCATGCATGCACCCGGAACAGCCAAGGGCGGCGTCAACGATGTCTGACGACAGATTTGCGGCCAAGCACCTTGCTGCCGCGCAGCTTGGCTCCCACGCCACCGCTCGCCGACGCTCCGCTGAGGTGGCCCATGTGTATGAAGCCCACGGGGTCGTCTGGCATGCTGCCCGCATCGAATGCATAGGGGTCGCCATAAGGGTCGTAGGCATCAAATAATGGCGCAGACGCGAGGCGCACCACCACGGATGCGGCGCCGCTGGCCGAGTTGGCCAGGTTTGCAGGCGGCCGAGGGGATGCGCCCGCTGGCCTGGCAGCTACCGGCCCTGTGATGGATGGTGCACCGCTGTCATGGCTGCCACAGGCTGGCCCTGTGTCGCGACAAGGCTCAGGACCCGGCTGCTGCTGCTGCTGCTGCTGCTGCTGCTGCTGCTGCTGCTGCTGGTGCACCAGACGAACCAGCATTTGCTCCCCACCATGGAGCTGGGGCTTAAGCGCTGCGTTGAGCCGCCCTTGCCCGGCGCCCTGCTGCTTGCGCTCAAGCGGGGAGCACCCCCCATCACCGCGCTTTGGCGATGCCGCAGGCTGCGGCAGGCCCTCAGCTGTAGCCTCAAATCCTGCCATCCGATTGCGCTTCCTTGTAAAACACTTCATACTCAATTCAGCGGGCCCCTATGTACTGTATGAGCAGATCAAGCCCATGCAATAGGCTGGTTGTTTACAGTCAAGTCATAAGGTAACGTATGTCATATTTGTCGTTGCACAGACGCATGTATTGCGTTTTTAAAACCAAGTGGCGCATTGTACAGGTACCGCAGCTGATCCTTGTGTGATCTGTGGTCTTTTTTGGCGGTCGTGATGTTTGCCCAGCCGCGGGATGCATCAACCCCAGCCGGTCGTAGAACTTTCAAGTTTGCTTTGTTGTGTATCTTGCTGCCAACAGCCAGGGGCACACCTGTCCCTGTCGCGCCTGACGCGGCAACATACAAACTGCCGCCATCCTGGATCATGAGCCTGCAAAGATGCTCAGGCACTTACAATGCCTTTGCCAATCTGTACAACATGTCGGTATCAGCAACAGGTTTGCAGCAGTTCAGGGAGGTGCACCGGACAAGGGGGCAAGAGCAATCATGCAAATCGCCTCCCCCGCTGCCATGATGATGTAGCCCAAAGGGGCCTGGCCAAGGGCCCAGGACGGTCCATGTGGTCGAGCTGAAGTACACGGTGAATTATGACGGGGACGAGGTCTATGACGTGGCCGAGAGCCAACACCGCTTGCTCATCGGGCCGGGGATCCTCAGCGCCGGGTCATCAACTTGCCCGCCTGCACATTGTACCCCTGGGGGTGGCAGGGGGGATGCAGCAAGCCCTTGGCCGAACACTGCTGCAACTGGGAGTGGAACTGAAGGATTTAGCCCGTGTGCGCCGCACCCTGCATGGCAGTGCTTTGCGCTACATGCACCGGGTCATGCTTTGCCTCGCTTTGTTGGTGGTGCGATCGTCATCAAAAGTTCCAGCCATGCTGGTGAAGAGTTGCTGTGCCACACATCTTCTGCCGTTTAGACCGGCAGTACAGTGGTATGATGTTTGCGTCAGGTGGCCAGATACCCTGTGATACATCAACATACCATGTAGCTCTCTGGTGCATGGTCAAACCCCGTCGTGGTGCTGGTGTCTTTCTAATAATGGTGATTCGCCGGTGCGCCTGCGTGTGGGGGGCGTGGGTGGGT